TCTGCCCACCTCCACCTCCACCTCCAGCAATGTTGGGATTACAGATGTGAACCACCATGTCCGGCCCCTCTCCTCTTAATGTAAAAAAATCACACAAATTCTTTTTTTTTTTTTTTTTCTTCTCGGAGTTCCTGTATTGTATTCTTCAGTTCCATTAATTCACTCATACTCCTCTCTAAGTTGTCTATTCTCAATAGGATTTCATCAAACCTTTTTTCAAAGTTCCTAGTTTCTTTTTTTTTTATTTTTTTATTTTTTAGAGAGAAAAAGAGAAAAAGAAGGGGAAAAAAAGAAAAAGAGGGAAAAAGGAATATTACTTCATTCCTAAAATGGGTTTCAATAATGGCCGATCAATATTTTGAGTGTTTAAAGTGGTTAATGCATATTTTATGTGTTTAAAATGGAGACCTCTATTATGTTTATTTGTTCTGGCTCTGAGTTCAAGTCCTGGATATCGTTATCAATTTGTTGTCTTGTTGAATCTAAATCTCATTATGTGTCTTATGTATCTGGGTGTTAAGATCTCTTATTGTTACATTAATCCTTTTACCCTTGCATCCTTGTAGCTTTGAAATCTATTTTATTAAGTGTGAGAATTGCAACTCCTGCTTTTTATTTATTTATTTTTGCTCTCCATTTGGTTGGTAAGTTTTTTTCCATCCCCTTGTTTTGAGTCTTTGTATATCTTCAGATATATCGTTAGATTTTGTGGATAATGTATATTTTGTGTGTTTAAAATGGAGAGCTCTATTGAGTTTATTTGTTCTGGATCTTAGTTCCAGTCCCGGGTATCGTTATCAATTTGTTGTCTCGTTGAATCTAAATCTCATTATGGGTCTTATGTATCTGGGTGTTAAGATCTCTTATTATTACATTATTCCTTTTACCCTTGTATCCTTGTAGCTTTGAAATCTATTTTGTCAAATGTGAAAATTACAACTCCTGCTTCTTATTTATTTATTTTTGCTCTCCATTTGGTTGGTACTTTTTTTTTTTTTTTCCAACCCTTTATTTTGAGTCTATGTATATCTTTGGATATACCGTTAGATTTTGTCTGTATCTTTTGATTGGGAGATTTGATCGATTTAAATTTAGGGTTGCTGCCATTTGTTATTAACTGGCTATTTTGTCCTTTCGTTGATAAAAATTCTTCTTTATGTTAATGCTCTTTACTTTTTGGTGTATTTTTAGAAAGGGTCATACTGGTTGTTCCTTTCTGTGTATAATGCTTCTTTTAGAAGTTCTTGTAAAGCAGGCCTGGTGGTAATAAAATCTCTGAGTACTTGCTTGTTCCTAAAAGATTTTATTTTTCCTTCAAATGTAAAGCTTAAATTGGCAGGATATGAAATTCTGGGCTGAAAGTTCTGTTGATTAAGTATATTGAATATTGGCCCCCACTCTCTTCTAGCTTGTAGGGTTTCCGTTGAGAGATCTGCTGTAAGCCTAATAGGCTTACCTTTATGGGTGACTTGATCTTTCTCTCTGGCTGCCCTTAATATTTTCTCCTTCGTTTCGATCTTGGTGAATCTAACGATTATGTGCCTTGGGGTTGGTCTTCTTGAGGAATATCTTTGTGGTGTTCTCTGTATTGCCTGGGGTTGAATAGTGTCCTGCTTTGCTAAATTAGGAAAATTTTCCTGGATAATGTCCTGGAGAGTATTTTCCAGCTTGACTTCATTCTCTCCGTCACATTCAGGTACACCAATCAAGCGTATATTAGGTCTTTTCACATAGTCCCATATTGCTTGGAGACTTTGCTCATTCCTTTTTATCCTTTTTTCTCTATTCTTGTCTTGTCGTTTTGTTTCATTAAGTTGGTCTTCGACCTCTGATACCCTTTCTTCTGCTTGATCCATTCGGCTGTTTAAGTTTGTACATATTTCACTAAGTTCTCGTGTTGTATTTTTCAACTCCATAAGTTCATTTGTATTCCTCTCTATATTGTCTATTCTTTTCAACATTTCATCGAACCTTTTTTCCAAGTTCTTAGTTTCTTTACATTGGGTTAGAACAAGTTCCTTTAACTCCCAGAAGTTTCTTATCATCCACCTTTTAAAGCCTACTTCAGATAATGGAACACAGTCCTTTTCCATCAGGGCTTGTTCCGTTACTGATGAGTCCTCTTCCATCAGGGCTTGTTCGGTTGCTGATGAGTCCTTTTCCATCAGGGCTTGTTCCGTTGCTGATGGGTTCTGATTCTGAGTATACTCGGCCTTCTTAGGCTGTTTTTTTCCCTTCATTGTAGATGAACCGCCTTTCTAATTAGTTTTCTGAGTCAACGTCCGACTTATTGACTCCCAGTGCTGGGATCCAAGCAACCCACTGTGGCAGCCTAAATAGCAGCGATAAGACTGATGGTGCTCTTCTGCCCAGGAATCTCTGGTCTGGCTTCCCTCTTGAGTCTGCAACAAGCGGCTCTGACTTCCTGGAGCTCCAAACTCCGGTCAGTAGGGGAAGCAGTCCTGTTGGCTCTACATGAAGAGCTGCTGCGCCGAGACGCCAGCAAAACCACTGTGGCGGCCACAAGAGTCGCGCTGGCGACCCGTGGGGCTCCTCCTCTGGGAATCGGCTGATCGGTGAGTGATGAAAATTCGTCTAATGATGTGGCGTCGTCTCGTTCTCTGAGCTTTCACTGGGAGCTACAATCCTGAGCTGTTAGTGGTCGGCCATCTTGGATCGATCTCCCAGAATCGTGTCTTTATAAGGAGTGAAGGAGACACCATCGCCTGTTTCCCTCCTGTGTGTGGAGGAACGGCCAGGCAAGGACACAGTGAGGAGGTGCCCGGCAAGCAGGGAGAGCCCTCAGCACACCGGCCCTGCCGACGACTCGATCTTGGATTCCCAGGCGTCTGCTACTGAGCCATCCCCATCGGAGGCACTTGCCTATGGCCTCCTGGGCAGAATGAGGCTGGGGCTTTGGAAGAAGGAATTGTACATCTGAGGAGCTTGGAGAGTGGGGTGTGCCGTGTGTGCGCACGTGCTGGTGGTGGATGCTGCTGTTGTTATTAGCAGGAGTGGCGTATGCCCAGCCTCTGGAAGCTCACCTCATAGTTATCTTTCTTCTTCCATGTTTCCTTTTGTAGGTCATGTCTGCCCTTAGCCTGACATCCTGCCATGTAAGGCTCCAGGACTGCTGTGGTCTCAGTTCTTCCGGGATCCCAGAGCCCCTGGTTCATTGTTCCTCCCTTGGCTGGCCTAGATGCCATGTCCTCTTTCTTTGGACAGTCATCACTGCTGGGCCCCATGGGAGGAGGGAGACAAGACCAGCTGCTGTGTGGGCACAGCTGTCACTGCTTCTCCTCCTCCAGCCATTGCTCACTACCCCTGGCTTCCCTGAGCTTCTCAGCAGCCTGGTGGAAGTGAACAGACGTGATGTTTCCACATCTGGAGGCCAGGGCGGGAGAGAGGCAGTGTGCCACTGAGCGGTTGGTCCTCTGACTCAGTGCTGCTCTCCCACATGTGATCTGGGGCCCGGTGCTGGGACAGCCTAGCTGGCAGACCTAGGACAGAGCTGGAAGGTGGGGGCAAGGCTGGGGTCAGAACTCTTCTCCCTCCTTCCCTCTGGTCTCCAGGAGGTCCCTTGAGCAAATTCCTTGTCCAGACAGTGATGTGTAGCATCAGTGATACCCAGGCCCTAGGAACAGTGAGCAGGTGGGCCCCAAGACAATGGTGCTTTGTGGCAGCCTCCAGCCCAGGACAGTAGCCCGAGCCCTGGGTCACCACGCTCACTCCATCCTGGGCAGAATTCCCCAGTGCCCAGCTTCCACCCAGGGCAGAATTCTCCAGCGCCTAGCTTCCACCCAGGGAAGAATTCCCCAGCACCCAGCTTCCACCCAGGGCAGAATTCTCCAGCCCCCAGCCTTGCAGAGGTGACGGCTCTGACAGGGACCATGACCTCTTCCTGCCACTTCTTGGTCAAGCAAGCAGCCCTTCCCTTGGAGTCTCTCCAACCCTGTCCCCAGGCGTCAGCACTCTGATCCTTCCAGCAGGATGTGCACAGGGACTCTGCTCAGCTCTTCCTCCTCTGTGTATGAAGCCCACAGACCCCACTCCAATCCCTGATGCCACCTCTGCCTGTGCGACTGTCCCTTGTCCCTCCCCTTATCAAGCCCAAGGGACCCTGCACCCACATGCCCTCCTCAGGGCCTTCTCATTGGAATCCCACACTGTCTGCATTTCTAAAGGGCTGGTTGACCCCGAGGGGCTCTTCTAAGCGGTAAGCTACCCGAGTGAATCGAAATCACACTTGGTTCCCCAAAAATTCCATCTGCCGCCACATCCTGCAGAAAGTGTCCCTGGAGCTTGGGAAGATGCCCAGGGCACTCTAACCGCTGCTGTGCTCATCACGCACCCTTTCTGCAGCCGGCGGGCACTTTCGCCAAACCCTTTCGCTATCAAACTCTGATTAACTTTCATGAACACACTGTTCCTACACATGGCCTCTAATTACTGAGTTCTTATGAGGAGAGTCTTGTGCTTTGCAGCGTCTAACGTCTTGATAGTGACCTGCTAGTGGCCATCCAGCCCATCTGCAGATGATGGTCACAAACCCTGGGAGAAAGGTGGCCATCCCCCTGCCGATTCCCACCCAGCTGCTGTCTCCTGCTGCGGAGCACCCCCAATCCTTTCTCTGGCCCTGGCATGGCTCATGACAATGATCTCCCCCCGCCCACCCCCACAGCTGACAACACATTTCCTGTGTGAGACTCTGTGTCTCCCGAGAAGCAGACACCAAGACAGGATGAGAAATGCACAGATTTTATAGGGAAAAACACCTGCAGGAGAAAACAGGTGAGCACCGGTGGAGGCTGGGAGCATGGGCTGCAGCAGGACCTGAGCCTGCAGGAGAGAGGTGTCCCGGGGGGCTGCAGGTGGGGGCATCAGCAGGGAGGTGCTGGGCCACTCAGGTGGCTCACGCATCTTACAGAGCAGGCCGGCAAACATCCCAGAGCGTGAACCACTGGCGACATGAGTTGGCTGTGCTGTCCCCGCACCCTGCCATGGCTGCTGACCAGGACAAGCGTGAGGCTCTTTACTTCCCTAAGCCAGTCAATTCCTGCATGGGCTGGAGCTCCCACCAAAGCCAGCTCTTAGCAGGCTCCCATGGTTCCCAGGACAGGGCCTGCCTCGGTGTCCCCTGCACCCAGCGCTGGCGGGGAGCTTGTGGGAAGCATGGGCGATTCCCAGGGCAGCAGCGGGGCCGTTGATAGGGCTGGCATGGCTGGGGTGCGTGAGGCTTGGTGTCATGGCCTCCACTCTCACTCTGCAAAACGAAGCCCCAGCTCCTCCCCTCGGTGCTCTCCGCGGCAGGGCCCCACCACCTCTGACCTGTCTCCTGAGTGTCCATCCTGCACAGCACTGTCCCAGCTGTTCAGTGCCCCTTGTCACCCCAGGCCTGATGCCAGCCGGCTGTGTTGCTGGCTTGCCACCGCCCACAACTTCCTCAGCCCTCACTGCAGGTGTGAGGAGGCGCCTTGGCTCCCAGGAGCCGATGCTCAGCACCTGGCTCAGTAGAGACCGCCAGTGGCAGGAGGAGGGCTCTCTAGACACCGGGGTGGGACCGCAGCCAGGTCTGGCGCTGGGCGGGTCGGCAGCCTGGGAGACACACATGGCTCTCTGTTTCTGTCTGTATCTCTCTCGGTCTCTCTCTCTGTGTTTCTCTCTCTAGGTCTCTCGCCTGGTCTCTCTCTCTCACTGACTCTGTATCTGTCCCTGTCTCTTTGTCTCTGCTTCTCTCTCTCTCTGTTTCTATCTCTGTCTCTCTGTATTTTTCTCTCTCTGGCTGTCTGTTGGCATGTCTCTGTCTCTGCTTCTCTCTGTCTCTCTGTGTCTCTGTTTCTCTTGGGCTCTCTGTCTCTGTTTCTCTCTATCTCTGTCTCTCTGTATTTTTCTTTCTCTGTCTCTCTGTTGGCCTGTCTCTGTCTCTGCTTCTCTCTGTCTCTCTGTCTCTGTTTCTCTCTCTCTCTCTGCCTCTGTTTCTCTCTATCTCTGCCTCTGTTTCTCTTTATTTCTGCTTCTCTCTATCTCTGTCTCTCTCTGCATTTTTCTTTCTCTGTCTCTCTGTTGGCCTGTCTCTGTTTCTCTCTGTCTCTCTGTGTCTCTGTTTCTCTTGGGCTGTCTCTCTGTTTCTCTCTATCTCTGTCTCTCTGTTGGCCTGTCTCTGTCTCTGCTTCTCTCTATCTCTCTGTGTCTTGTTTCTCTTGGGCTTTCTGTCTCTGCTTCCCTTTATCTCTGCTTCTCTCTATCTCTGTCTCTCTCTGTACTTTTCTTTCTGTCTCTCTGTTGGCCTGTCTGTCTCTGCTTCTCTCTGTCTCTGTTTCTCTTGGGCTCTCTGTCTCTGCTTCTCTCTGTCTCTCTCTGTATTTTTCTTTCTCTGTCTCTCTGTTGGCCTGTCCCTGTCTCTGCTTCTCTCTGTCTCTCTGTGTCTCTGTGTCTCTTTGTTTTTCTTGGGCTCTCTTTCTGACAGGGTCATCAGAGCCTGACAAGCCCCTCCAGCAATGACCTTGCAGGTGGTGGCAGGCCTGAGGCAGGCGCCCTGATTTGATCAGCTGCTCTGCTCCATGAGGCTCCCCAGCCTATCTCAGCAGGCAGCTGACATGGCCTCTCTGTCACCTCCATGGGAGCCAGTGCCCCTCGCTAGAAGCCTCTGGATGGGAGAGAATTCTCTGCTCTTCGTTCCTGGTTGCGGGGACGCACCTCCCAATCTGTGCTTCTGGACAGCAGTGAGGTCTCATGTGCTCCATAGACGCCCTGGGTGAGGCTCAAGCGGGTCATAGCATCGGGTTTTTTTTTTTTTTTTTTTTTTTTTTTTTTTTTTTTTTTTTACTTCTTATGCAGACGTGGGATTGTAGTTCAAAGTTTTCTTATAGGAATACCTTTTCTTTTTTTTTTTTTTTTTTTTTGGAAAAAGAGAAAAAGAAGGGGAAAAAAAGAAAAAGGGGGAAAAAGGAATATTACTTCATTCCTAAAATGGGTTTCAATAATGGCCGATCAATATTTTGAGTGTTTAAAGTGGTTAATGCATATTTTATGTGTTTAAAATGGAGACCTCTATTGTGTTTATTTGTTCTGGCTCTGAGTTCAAATCCTGGATATCGTTATCAATTTGTTGTCTCGTTGAATCTAAATCTATGTGTCTTATGTATCTGGGTGTTAAGATCTCTTATTGTTACATTAATCCTTTTACCCTTGTATCCTTATAGCTTTGAAATCTATTTTGTCAAATGTGAAAATTGCAACTCCTGCTTTTTATTTATTTATTTTTGCTCTCCATTTGGTTGGTACGTTTTTTTTTTTTTTTCCAACCCTTTATTTTGAGTCTATGTATATCTTTGGATATACCGTTGGATTTTGTCTGTATCTTTTGATTGAGAGATTTGGTTGATTTAATTTTAGGGTTGCTGCCATTTGATATTAACTGGCTATTTTGTCCTTTTGTTGATAAAAATTCTTCTTTATGTTAATGCTCTTTACTTTTTGGTGTATTTTTAGAAAGGATCATACTAGTTGTTCCTTTCTGTGTATAATGCTTCTTTTAGAAGTTCTTGTAAAGCAGGCCTGGTGGTAATAAAATCTCTGAGTACTTGCTTGTTCCTAAAAGATTTTATTTTTCCTTCAAATGTAAAGCTTAAATTGGCAGGATATGAAATTCTGGGCTGAAAGTTTTGTTCTTTAAGTATATTGAATATTGGCCCCCACTCTCTTCTAGCTTGTAGGGTTTCCGTTGAGAGATCTGCTGTAAGCCTAATAGGCTTACCTTTATGGGTAACTTGATCTTTCTCTCTGGCTGCCCTTAATATTTTCTCCTTCGTTTCGATCTTGGTGAATCTAACGATTATGTGCCTTGGGGTTGGTCTTCTTGAGGAATATCTTTGTGGTGTTCTCTGTATTGCCTGGGGTTGAATAGTGTCCTGCTTTGCTAAATTAGGAAAATTTTCCTGGATAATGTCCTGGAGAGTATTTTCCAGCTTGACTTCATTCTCTCCGTCACATTCAGGTACACCAATCAAGCGTATATTAGGTCTTTTCACATAGTCCCATATTTCTTGGAGACTTTGCTCATTCCTTTTTATCCTTTTTTCTCTATTCTTGTCTTGTCGTTTTGTTTCATTAAGTTGGTCTTCGACCTCTAATACCCTTTCTTCTGCTTGATCCATTCGGCTGTTTAAGCTTGTACATATTTCACTCAGTTCTCGTGTTGTATTTTTCAACTCCATAAGTTCATTTGTATTCCTCTCTATATTGTCTATTCTTTTCAACATTTCATCGAACCTTTTTTCCAAGTTCTTAGTTTCTTTACATTGGGTTAGAACAAGTTCCTTTAACTCCCAGAAGTTTTTTATCATCCACCTTTTAAAGCCTACTTCAGATAATGGAACACAGTCCTTTTCCATCAGGGATTGTTCCGTTACTGATGAGTCCTTTTCCATCAGGGCTTGTTCGGTTGCTGATGAGTCCTTTTCCATCAGGGCTTGTTCCGTTGCTGATGGGTTCTGATTTTGAGTACTCAGCCTTCTTAGGCTGTTTTTTTTCCCTTCATTTTAGATGAACCGCCTTTCTAATTAGTTTTCTGAGTTGACGTCCGACTTACTGATTCCCAGTGCTGGGATCCGAGCCACCCACTGTGGCAGCCTAAATAGCAGCGATAAGACTGATGGTGCTCTTCTGCCCGGGAATCTCTGGTCTGGCTTCCCTCTTGAGTCCGCAACAAGCGGCTCTGACTTCCCGGAGCTCCAAACTCTGGTCAGTAGGGGAAGTGGTCCCGTTGGCTCTGCGTGAAGAGCTGCTGCGCCGAGACGCCGGCAAAACCGCTGCAGCGGCCACAAGAGTCGCGCTGGCGACCCGTGGGGCTCCTCCACTGGGAGTCGGCTAATCGGTGAGTGATGAAAATTCGTCTAATGATGTGGCGTCGTCTCGTTCTCTGAGCTTTCACTGGGAGCTACAATCCTGAGCTGTTAGTGGTCGGCCATCTTGGATAGATCTCAGCATCGGGTTTGGAGTTCACTGTGTCTTCATAGCTGCTTGTACTTACACCATGGCACAGAATTGTGGCAGGCTGTGTGTGTAAATCCTGTATTTCTAAGAATTTATTTCTTCTGAGAGGCTGGAGATGAAGGCCCCCAAGGTCTGGGAAAAAGGAAATCCCTGGGAGGGAAATCCATGTGTTTAAATGGCCCTTGTGGCAATGGTGACTTCCAAATGCCACTGCTCCCCAGCCCCCTCCTTCCCTGTGGCATCAGCTGTGGGGCAGCTGTTGGAACACGACATGGCCTCAAGCCTGGGGTGTGAGCCCGGGGTCCTGGCCAGGGTCTGGTGCCCACCAGCTGTGGGCTTGGCAAGAGCGTGGTGCCCGCCCATCTGTGCAGGGCACTCTGACTTTCAGGGTCACCCTCTTTCCTCCTGGGAAGTCCCCTGCCTCGGGAAGCCCACGGAACCCTCACACCTCCGCGTCCCCCACGAAGGTTCAGTGGGAAAACGAGGCTCACCTGGTTCGTTTGTCCTATAGCCTGCAAATACTGACTGGTCCTTATGTCTCAGGAATTCCTTTTTAAAATGCAAAACACTTCTATTTTTCAGACAGACCACAGCAAAATATAGGGTGGGCCTCAGGGGCCTGCAGGTGCCTTCAATTTACGGCTGCAGGACAACAGAAGGGGCGTGTCTCTCGCTGAATTAAGACAGAAGAGAGAGGTTCTTTATTAAACCCAGAAGAATTGGTCTTCTCTGGAGGAGGCACCTCAGAGCAGCAGGACCGGGCTCCCTGCCCCCAGCGCCTCCCTGGATGGCCTCCCGTTCTGTCTCCCCAGCAGCCTCCATGGGCTCAGGTGATGTTTATTCATAGTCACGCTTGCCTCCCACACAGGCTTATTCCTGCAAACCCTGCCAGGGTTGTTAAGGAACATCTAAAAGGCGTGAGGCCCTGAGCTTTGATCCAGCTGCTTAATTGCCTTTACTAATCACACCAAGATCAAGAGGATAAAAATAGCCTCCAGGGTCGGGCGGAGAGAGTCACCTTGATGGGGATTTGGAGAGCAGCAAGGAGACAGTTCTAATTCACTCCTGGTGGGGCCTGAAATCACCACTTTAATTAAATAAACTAACCTGAGCAACTAGAGCTATGCAAACAACTTGACGTGAGGCTTTAGATTATTAGAGAGAAGCAGAAAGGAAGAGGAGGGCGCTTCCTGGAACAGGTTTCAGCTGTTTTCCTAAGCGGCCTGTCCCCAAGCAAAAGGAAACGTTTCTCCCTCTCCTCTCTCCCTCTTTCCTCGTCTCTCCCTCTTTCCTCGTCTCTCCCTCTTTCCTCGTCTCTCCCTCTTTCCTCGTCTCTCCCTCTTTCCTCGTCTCTCCCTCTTTCCTCCTCTCTCCCTCTTTCCTCCTCTCTCCCTCTTTCCTCCTCTCTCCCTCTTTCCTCCTCTCTCCCTCTTTCCTCCTCTCTCCCTCTTTCCTCCTCTCTCCCTCTTTCCTCCTCTCTCCCTCTTTCCTCCTCTCTCCCTCTCTTTCCTCCTCTCTCCCTCTTTCCTCCTCTCTCCTCTTTCCTCCTCTATGTCTATTTCTCTCCCTCTCCTCTCGCCCTCTTTCCTCCTCTCTCCTCTCTTTCCTCCTCTGTGTCTATTTCTCTCCCTCTCCTCTCGCCCTCTTTCCTCCTCTGTGTCTATTTCTCTCCCTTCCTCTCTCCCTCCCTTTCTTTCCATCCCTCTCTGGTTCTGTCTCTCTGTCCCCCTCCACCGGTGTTTTACCTTCAAACAGAATATCTGATGGAGAGGCTTGTGTTTCTGCGTATTTGCCTTCTTGTTTGGGGATATTCTCCTGGCCATCCTTCAAGTTCTTTAAAGCCTGGCTTGAGTCTCCCCCACTGCGGGAAGGCTCCCAGGGTGAACACCATGTCTTTCTGGTACATTCCTTGTCATTTATCTCAGCCCTCATGCTGTCACCTTTTGTAGTTGTAAACCAAAAGCACCAGGGACAGGCCTCGATCAATGTAGAAGTTTATTCTGCCGACGTTATGGATGTGCTTGGGAAAAAGGAACACAAAACCACAGGAGCAACCTGTGATCCAATTTTTCCAAAGAGGGTCTTGAGCTTTGATACTGAAAGGGGAAAAGCAGGCACTGGGGGAAGGGGAGAGGGTGTGGTCGCACGACTGAATCCACGCATGGCCCTGAAAAGGCACCGGTTCAGGAATCGTCCATTAGGTTTTTGTCTCGTGCTCTGCACATCTTTGCATGAGATAAAGTCAGCAGCAGAGCAGCTCCCTGTGGAGACCCCTGGCCTGCTCCCTGCCGTGATCTGCCCTGGAGCAGAAGGAAAGGTGCGGCATGCACGCCTCAGCTCCCAGCTTAGCTTTCCCCTCTGGCAGAGTGAACGAGGTCCTGAGATTTTTCTGTCCTTTCACCTGACTGATTTTAGGGGCTCCATCTGTGTATTTCCTCTTTCCAAATAGGTCTGTGCTGCTTCAGGTCTGAAACTATGTCTTCTCTCTCCTGTTTCCGAATGGCTCATTCTGCTGCCCATCAGATAGGCCCTTTCCCCAGGACCCTTGGGGTCCAGGTGAGCAGAGCAGCCGGCCACGCTGGAAGCCCTGAGTGTTCCCCACCTGGGCCTTCCTCTCTGTCCCTGACATCCAGCCGGGCACCTATCCGGGCAGCTGAAAGTCATCCCCAAGTCCAGCCTCCTCGCCCCACCACTGCACCTTGCTCTGCACTCCCGGACGTCAGTCTCTCACTGAGCACTATCCGTGGCTTGCGTCGTCTGCGGCTGACACATCCTTTCAGATGCATGCCTCCCTCTGTCATATGTATCCAGGGTAGGATCCGAGCCGCCAGGACCCCAGTAAAGACTTGCTGGCTGCTTTAAGAGCGGGCACCTGCGCGTGTGTTTTGCTCAGCGTTTTCCCTACGCTGTCAGTGCGCTGGGTAGCTCTACTCAACCCACAATGATGGCAGATCTTTTGAGCACTGCATCCACGACTTTGTCTGGAACCACCATGGAAGGCATCCAGAAGCCTAGCTCTCTTCCTATGAGCATTCAGGATTCCCAGATCCCCAAAAGACCCTAACACCATCTCCAGGTGAACAGCTGCCTGTGTTTGCCTGGGGGAGGGAGTGCCCTGCCTGAGGCGGAGGGAGCACTGCACCCCTTTGGAGGTGGGTGAGCCTCACATGTTCTCCACAGCGCATGAGGAGGGCACCGGAGAGCAGCCCCCGCCCCTCCACAGCGGACATAGGTGGGGTTGTAAATTACGAGTCAAAAATCTCCTCTTCACACGACTGAATTATTCATGAAGTAAGTGCTGTGGTTTGGGTCCTGCTGGTCTATGAATGTACAGGTGAATTGTTTATTATGGCACATGGATTTTGCAAAGAAGTTGTCCAAAAACTCTTCAAGCGCAGTGGTTGAATTTAACAAACATTGACTGCGCACCGACTCTAGGACAGAAATTGTGATAGGTGTTAAGGAGACAAAGATGAATAAGACAGTAAGCACCTGCCTTCAGTGTGCTCTGGGGTTCGCAGGGAGAACACACAACCAGCTGGTCCACAGAGACGGATTACTATCAGCATTATTCACGGCGTATGGGAAATATGACATAACCGTATTTCAGATAATGACATGACCTCACCAAAGTTGAACCAATAAACCAACCCGCCCACCACAACAGAAGCTAACCCTGGTAACACTGAACACGAAATCCCCACCGCAACAGAAGCTAACCCTAGTAACACTGAACACGGAACCCCCACCACAACAGAAGCTAATCCTGGTAACACTGAACACGGAACCCCCACCAAAACAGAAGCTAATCCTAGTAACACTGAACACGGAACCCCCCACCACAACAGAAGCTAACCCTAGTAACACTGAACACGGAACCCCCACCACAACAGAAGCTAATCCTGGCAACACTGAACACGGAACCCCCCACCACCACAGAAGCTAATCCTAGTAACACTGAACACGGAACCCCCACCACAACAGAAGCTAATCCTAGTAATACTGAACATGGAATTTCCTACCAACACAAAAGAAGCTAACCCTGGTAACACTGAACACGGAACCCCCCACCACAACAGAAGCTAATCCTGGTAACACTGAACACGGAACCCCCACCACAACAGAAGCTAACCCTAGTAACACTGAACACGGAACCCCCACCACAACAGAAGCTAACCCTAGTAACACTGAACACGGAACCCCCACCACAACAGAAGCTAACCCTAGTAACACTGAACACGGAACCCCCACCACAACAGAAGCTAATCCTAGTAATACTGAACATGGAATTTCCTACCAACACAAAAGAAGCTAACCCTGGTAACACTGAACACGGAACCCCCCACCACAACAGAAGCTAATCCTAGTAACACTGAACACGGAACCCCCCACCACAACGGAAGCTAATCCTGGTAACACTGAACACGGAACCCCCACCACAACAGAAGCTAACCCTAGTAACACTGAACACGGAACCCCCACCACAACAGAAGCTAATCCTAGTAACACTGAACACGGAACCCCCCACCACCACAGAAGCTAATCCTAGTAACACTGAACACGGAACCCCCACCACAACAGAAGCTAATCCTAGTAATACTGAACATGGAACCCCCCACCACAACAGAAGCTAATCCTAGTAACACTGAACACGGAACCCCCCACCACAACAGAAGCTAATCCTAGTAACACTGAACACGGAACCCCCACCACAACAGAAGCTAATCCTAGTAATACTGAACATGGAACCCCCCACCACAACAGAAGCTAACCCTAGTAACACTGAACACGGAACCCCCACCACAACAGAAGCTAATCCTAGTAATACTGAACATGGAATTTCCTACCAACACAAAAGAAGCTAACCCTGGTAACACTGAACACGGAACCCCCACCACAACAGAAGCTAATCCTAGTAATACTGAACATGGAATTTCCTACCAACACAAAAGAAGCTAACCCTGGTAACACTGAACACGGAACCCCCACCACAACAGAAGCTAACCCTAGTAACACTGAACACGGAACCCCCACCACAACAGAAGCTAATCCTAGTAACACTGAACACGGAACCCCCACCACAACAGAAGCTAACCCTAGTAACACTGAACACGGAACCCCCACCACAACAGAAGCTAATCCTAGTAACAGTGAACACGGAACCCCCCACCACAACAGAAGCTAACCCTGGTAACACTGAACACGGAACCCCCACCACAACAGAAGCTAATCCTAGTAACACTGAACATGGAACCCCCCACCACAACAGAAGCTAACCCTGGTAACACTGAACACGGAACCCCCCACCACAACAGAAGCTAACCCTGGTAACACTGAACACGGAACCCCCCACCACAACAGAAGCTAACCCTGGTAATACTGAACACGGAACCCCCACCACAATAGAAGCTAACCCTGGTAATACTGAACATGGAACCCCCACCACAATAGAAGCTAACCCTGGTAATACTGAACGCGGAATCCCCCACCACAACAGAAGCTAACCCTGGTAACACTGAACACGAAACCCCCCACCACAACAGAAGCTAATCCTGGTAACACTGAACACGGAACCCCCCACCACAACAGAAGCTAACCCTAGTAACACTGAACACGGAACCCCCACCACAACAGAAGCTAATCCTAGTAACACTGAACACGGAACCCCCACCACAACAGAAGCTAATCCTAGTAACACTGAACATGGAACCCCCACCACAACAGAAGCTAATCCTAGTAACACTGAACACGGAACCCCCACCACAACAGAAGCTAATCCTAGTAACACTGAACACGGAACCCCCACCACAACAGAAGCTAATCCTGGTAACACTGAACACGGAACCCCCACCACAGCAGAAGCTAACCCTGGTAACACTGAACACAGAACCCCCACCACAACAGAAGCTAACCCTGGTAACACTGAACACGGAACCCCCACCACAACAGAAGCTAACCCTGGTAACACTGAACACGGAACCCCCACCACAACAGAAGCTAACCCTGATAACACTGAACACGGAACCCCCACCAAAACAGAAGCTAACCCTGGTAACACTGAACACGGAACCCCCACCACAACAGAAGCTAACCCTGGTAACACTGAACACGGAACCCCCCACCACAACAGAAGCTAACCCTGGTAACAGTGAACACGGAACCCCCCACCACAACAGAAGCTAACCCTGGTAACAGTGAACACGGAACCCCCCACCACAACAGAAGCTAACCCTGGTAACAGTGAACACGGAACCCCCCACCACAACAGAAGCTAACCCTGGTAACAGTGAACACGGAACC